GTTAAGGGGAAATTATATGAGAATAAGAAAAGTAAAACACAAATGCTTTGAAAAGTGCACTTAGATTTCTAAAGGATCACAAGACATTTTATACAACACACATTTTGATTAAATAGCACTTAAATAATAATTCAACGTATTTGAAATAGTTTGAAATAGTAATTTCCCCCACAGAGTATGGATTAAAAATTAAAGAGACAGGCCAGGCACAGTAGCTCTCACCTGTAATCTCAGCACTTTGGGAGGCTGAGGTGGGCCGATCACCTGGGGTCAGGAGATCGAGACCAGCCTGGCCAACATGGTGAAACTGTCTCTACTAAAAAAAGTACAAAAATGCTGGGCATGGTGGCCTGTTCCTGTAATCCCAGCTACCCAGGAGGCTGAGGCAGAAGAATCGCTGGAACCAGGTGGCAGAGGCTGCAGTGAGCCGAGATCGTGCCACTGTACTCTAGCCTGGGTGACAGAGCAAGACTCCATCTCAAAAAAAAACAAAAACAAAAACAAAAAACAAAAAACAAAAATATTAAACAGACAAAACAACCACTTTGGGTTTATGATCATAAGGTAAATGATTATGCTTATTATTTGGAAAAAAATACAAGCTTTTTTTTTCCCCCAGATGATACTTACTCATTTAAAAAGTTGTATTTCATTAATTAGTTCTGTATTTCTAAATTAAGAAAACATGAGAGAGAAAGCCCAAGTAATGGGGAAACATTCACTCAAGGTAGTGAGCCTTTTCACTTGTCATCAGGGAGGGGTGGTCACAGTGCTCAGGGCACAGAGTCTAGATACGTGTTGAGCCAGGATCTGGCGCCCTGCTTTTTAGCCATGTGACCTTAGGCTTGGGTTCTCCCAGAAGCAAACCTGAGACAAGCATCAAAAGGTAAGTGGTCTGCCTGGGGAGGGATCCCAGGAAACACTGGGAAAGGAGCCAGGAGGTGAGAAAAGAAAAAAGTAAGCTTAAAAAAAAAAAAGTAAGTAAAAAATAAGTGTGTGTCAAGCCAGTCTTCTGAGGGAAATGATCTCATCTCACAGGGACACTCTAGAGTGCTGTGTATTTAGAATACACATCAGAGTTGTCACAAATGAGGAAGATGGAGATTTTCTCTTCTTCCTTTCTTATCCACCAACTTCCTGTATTTCATTGGAAGGGGGCTGCTCCCTGAGGCATTAACCCTCTGGCCCTCCAGCTGGTCCTTCATGGGACTGAGCCTGTGCCTGTGGCTCCTCAGGCAGAGTGGCAGGTGTTTGCAGTAACCAGTGTCAGCTATTACTGCTTTATATTTGATTGATACTATAACACCACTATGATATTTCTAAATTATATAACAAAATCTAAGTTAAAATAACAAAAATGAAATACAATAACTATTCATGGGTATTTGGTATTGTGCTAAGTGCTAGCCAATTATTTGGACAACTGCAACAGTATTTACACTGTGATATGGTTGGGCTGTGTCCCCACCTAAATCTCTTCTTGAATTGTAGCTCCCATAATTCCCACATGTCATGGGAGGGACCCGGTGAGAGGTAATTGAATCATGGGGATGGGTTTTTCCTGTTTTGTTATTGTGCTAGTGAATAAGTCTCATGAGATCTGATGGTTTTATAAAGGGCAGTTCACCTGCACACACTCTCTTGCCTGCCACCATGTAAGATATGCCTTTGCCCCTCCTTTGCCTTCTGCCATGATTGTGAGGTCTCCCCAGCCATGCTGAACTGTGAGTCCATTACACCTCTTTCCTTTATAAATTACCTGCTCTTGGGTATGTCTTTATTAGCAGCGTGAGAATGGGCTAATATGCACTGGAAACTGAAACTCCATTTGGTCATTTTGGACTTCATGCCACCAAAAAAGCAGGTAGAATAACAGATACAGGATAATGAATCCTACTATTAATTGGAAATGATCATCTGCAGGAAAAGTGCCAATGGAATTCAAAGGGTGGAACCCAAATGCCTCTATTTCAGCATGTCCAGTGTCAAATGTTCAAACAATCAGATAGCACTCTATATAAACAAGACCCCAATAATTAAACTTTTCTCTATTTCTCTGTCACTTAAGGAATCTTGGAAGTTGAGTTTCCTTTGGCGCCAAAGAGAACATGGACTGGACAGAAGAATTTGTAAGTTATAAGTATGAACTATAACTTTAGGATCTGTTACAGAAATAAGTATTGTATCTTCCACTATATTTTCATTTTTATGGTTCTATAAATCATTCTAAAATGTAGCTAATTCTCATCTATCTCTCTTGCCCATCACAATTTTCTAAAGGGTGTAGTGTTGACTAACTTTATTATTCAGTCTATGGTCATGAATATTGAGATGGGATTGTGATAGAATAAAAACAAAAGAGACGGAATGAATATTCCTCAGAAATCCTGGATTCACTAACTGAGAAGACTTTAGCTTGCCTCCATTTATTATTGAACATGGTCATGTTACATCAAGCCATAGCATTGTCCCTCCCCTAATGTGGAAGTATAAATACTTACGTACAGGTAGAAAAGAGAATTTTAGAAAAATGGCAGGGTGGAGTAGTGGAGAAGTCTCCATTACCACCAACAATTTGGGAAGAAGGTATGAGTTTTCTATGGCTCAAGTGGACCTCATGAGAGGAAGCTGGGCTTTAGCTTACTTGCTGGAATCCCATTCCAGAGGGCTAGCCACAAGGAATGGATTTTCAAGCAGCATGAATCTATGGCATATGCTGCAGTAGGCAGTCACAGGAGACACTGACAGGAATCGATCTGAAATAGATTTCACTCCTCAAGGAAATGTACAGATAGGAAGGTCCCCAGAAACACACATGAGAGACCAGCATTTGGATGCAACAATATAGGAAGCATTGAGGACCTCTTCTTCTTCCCCTTTAGTTTCCATTCCCAAAAACACTGTGGAAAAGAGGGACCTAGAAGTGGATGGGGAAGGAGGAGCAAGTGGCACATCAGACTCCCTTTTATATACCAAGTCCTTTGGACCTGAGCATGTCTGGGGAGGGCAGCTCGGCGAGGGTGGATGGGAGGGCCGGAGGAGGTGGAAATACATTTCCACAAGGCATAGTTACAGGTAGTTATTGGAGAAAATTAAAAACCATTTCATATCTATAGCCTACCAATTTCAGTTATCTGAAAAATTGAATACTCAGAAAAAGAAAATGAGGGAATGGGAAATAAATTAAGAGTAAAAAAAATTATACTGTCAGTGAGTTATTAGAATTAAGAATCCTCTCCTCTCCCCATATGTTTTTAATGTTTCCATATAATACTAATACATGTAATAAAAAGATAATTATGCCAAATTCCATATACCATAGTTGATTTTATATATATAGATACATAGATAGATACACACACACACACACACACACATAGATGTATGCACACACACACTCACACAGTCGTCCCTTGATATCCATGAGTTCTGCATCCATGGATTCAACCAACTGCGGATGGAAAATATTTTTAGAAATTGCATCTGTACTGAACATGTACAGGCTTTTTTTCCTGTTATTATTCCATAAACAATACTGCTTAACAATCATTTACATTTTTTTGTATTCTACATACTCTAGAGATGATTTAAAACATATGAGAGGATGTGCATACGTTATATGCAACTCCTATACCTTTTTATATCCGGGACTTGAGCATCCATAAATTTTGTTATCCATGGCAGGTCCTGGAGTCAATGACCCATGGATACCGAGGGATATCTGTCTGTATATGTGTATGTGTGTATGTTGGGGGGGTGTACACATAAATGTAAACCTATAAAGATGAAGCAAAAGTTCTATATACTCATTTTTTTTCTTCGAGTAAAGTTACAACACTATTTGTTTGATGTATTAGAATTGTATTCATATTTATAAAGTTTAGAAAACCTTAAGGGAGCATGAGCATGCATTCAGGTAAAAATGTTTTGAATATTTCTGCATCTCTTGACAATCTCTCATGAGCTCGACTTTTCCCTTTCTGGAAATATCCCACGGTATAACCTGGGATATATGAAAAGGGATAATTGTAATTTTTAACTGGACAGTATCAGAAAGCATAAAGTGCTATACGCAGACTACCTACCTAGCACCTTTAGCTTTATCCTTGATATAGGGAGAAAAATTAATGTATCCAAGAGGAAAAAATGATGAGTCCAGGGTATTTTCATCATAGTTAAAAAATTATCTGTATTTTCCCTTTTCCAAGGATCTTTCATGAATGAAGACAGTGTCCTCTTACTTACTTTTATTATTTCTGTAGTAGAACTTACTAGTTTCTGAAGTTTGAGCCTGCATTTGGCTCTTTTGACTCACACTGACATTTTCAATAATCTCTTAGAAATATCAGATCTTAAATACATATAATCACCAAAATATAATAAATCACAAAGCAACTTGAAAGAAACACTTTTGAACAGTAATATCTTAGGAGCTTATGAGGTGGGAACTTTGACACATGAAACATATCTGAGTTTCAAATAAAATACCAAGCCTGCCTCTTGGCCTGTTTCAAAGAAATCTTGTAATTTTTTTCATATGAAATTAGCATAAAATGAGATTTACCTTATAGAAACCCCACAGCACAGGATTTTACATTTGAAGTTAGGATTTAGGGAATTATTATCATTTTTTTTTGGAAGATACCAACACCAGAAATCCACTGAGTTTTTAATACTGAATTAAAGAAAATATCATGATCATAAATTTTAAAAAGTAGATTTTACTTAAAGTAGTTTTATGGAAGTTAAAATCACCAACAAGTCAGCCATTCCATAGAGCTTTAGTATGGAATATATTAGTGTTATTAAAATTATTTATAAAATTATAATTCATGAACACTAAAAAATATTAGTATTCTCTATTAACCATAACTCTCCATTTTAATGATACTTCAATTCACAACAGCACAAAATTATTAGTACTATATATAATAATTCCGATGTTAAATTTTAGTTTAGTATTCAGTTTACCTTATTCTCAGGTCCTATGTGTTACTTACTCTGTGAGGTTTGAGTATCTATGAATTTCTTTATCAAGGCATCAGTAGTTTGGGTATAAAGACTGAGAGCATATCTCAGAGACTGAAGATCTGGGCTTTTCTCCAAGAAATTCTTTTTCAGGCCATTTCCTCCTGCATGGAAGTATTGCTGCGAAGAAAAAAAATAGCAGAGGCATTTCGAGAGAAGTAGTGGAGGAAGGAATTTATTACTCTAATAGAGAAGCTCAAATGGAATAATACAATTTGATCAATGCAAGATACAAAAAATGGTTCCACTATTTTCCCATTGCTAAGTTATTAACATCTAATTCAGGTCCCCTAGACATCTCTGAAATGACACTCAGCCTCACAGACCTCATATCACAGAAGGCCTAATCCTTTTTCTCTTATGCAAAACTTTAAACAAATGAGATCATGCTGATGTAGCAGTCAGAATCCTTATAGAATAACGGGTTTAGGTCACAATTATCGACTTGGTTATTGACTTCTGTTTCTTGAACATGAGAAAAATACCTAGGGTTGTCAACATTTCATAGGGAAGGTAGCTTCTGGCCACGTATTTTCCAGATACCAGTTTGCAATTCTAGGTCAGGTGTCTGCCACTCCATCTGCCCAATCCTCTAATCACACAGTGGTGCAGATATAGGCCAACCTGACTAGGCAGAGTGGTCCTTGGAAATCCAATAGCCCTTGAACCTTGTGTCTGATAAATATAATAAAACTTGTTTTTGCTATTGTTATTCAACCAAACTCAAAATATTCCAAAATGTATAAATAAGGTAATAGAGAAGATATATGGTCATTGACAATAAATATGGTCACTGAGGGATGTTAGCATTTTTCATACTACAAGTGTTATGCACAGACAGACATCTCTTGGAAATGCAGACTGTCTAGAGATATATGATAGAACTAAGGATGTTTTTGTCTACCTGTTTATAAATAATAGATTTATAATATTCTATTAAGGTTAGACAAATGGTTCTCTTTCTCTCTTCCTGTACCAACAATACTAGAGGAAACAAAGCACTCACTAGCAACTGTGGCTCACTGTGATCTATAATTAGTACAGAACGAAATATGCCAAAGAAGCTCAAGAAATTATTCAGAGACACTCCCCTAAATGGGTATGTGTCATTCTTCTTTCCCACTCCTTAAGAATTTCTCAGGCAGGACATTTCAATGAGCTGCAAAAATCATAATTATCACAGTTTTTTTTCCCTATTCAAGGAGAGATGCAGAAAAATTTTATGGGTATTAGCAAGCACCTGGTTCTACTTTCAGAGAGTATACTGTAGAGGACATTCACGGGGTAGGCCAAAGAAATTAGGCAATTGGGATTTAAACTTAAGAAAGACTGGTACAATTACAGATACCCTCCCCAGGGAGAAAGAAACCTATGGTCCTTTGAAGTTCCATTCACTGATTCTAGCTAGGTACTCCGTGAAAACACAGGCTGTGGCAAAAACTACATATGCTATGAAAAGGAGGCACGGAGAAAATGTCTTCTCTTTAGGAGAATACAAAAACATAATTTTAAAATTGTTCTACACCTGGATCTTATAAAGAATGTTAAAACATTTTCACATGCAGAAAGTATTTAGAGGACTGTTAGTCCTGAACTGTTTCGGGCGCCTTAACAGATGAAAAAAATATGATAATTCCTTTCTTTGAGAAACACAGTATTTAAGGATGGAAAAAAGATTTCATGGATATATTGAGAGGGATACACGTAAATGTATTTAGATTGGTCTTGACTCTGTATCTCCTAGAAGGGTAGTGGAGTGCTCTCTGGAGGACTGTTTACATAATGAATCAAGGAGCCATCCAAAGAAATAACTGTTCCTGAGAGTAAAGAGCAGTGCTAGAAACCGAGCCAAGAGTAGGAGGGAAACTCTGGAAAGGAAAACACACTCTCTCTCTTTCTTAATACTTCTCAGGTAAGCCTCAGTCTTATCAAACCTGAGCATAAGTGCTAAATGATTACAATAAAGGAGGATGAGGAGGAGCAGAAAGAGGAGGAGGAAGAGAGGGAAGGAAAACCAAAACTGACAAAATGAAAATTTGCCATTTCTGGGGAAAAGGAAGCAAAAAAGATTAATGGGTATTCTGTCTATGATACACATTTGGGTTATTCTCACTTTTCATTGTTCTTGGGCTACTTTAAAACTCTATACATTGTAGAAAATTAATAATAATAGTATAGATGATATTTGTCCCTCATAATACAAATTAATTGTTTTGGGCAGAATAAAACTGAATATTGCTCTGTGGATAAATCTTTCTTTCCTCTATTCCAGCTTTTCTTATTGCTTGTATATGCTTGGTTTCTGGAATTCTCCTTTGAGACAGTCGTAACATCTTAACTGCTTCCCTCACTAATTGCTGAATAAAATAACATTTTGACACATTTTATAACTGCATGAGTATCACAATTATACCCTCTTTTAAAAACTGTTCTTTAACAGTGTATGTAAAGTAGCATGAGTGATAGCATTCATAAGGATGACCACAGGATTTACTGTCTAATTTGTAAGATTGCACTGTGGATTCTTCAGTCACCTTAACACTTGACTGCATCTGCGGTAGTGTCTGCTGTGCCACCTGTTTTTTCCCTCTTTTCTTTCATAAATATTTATTAAATCTGTATCATGAGCCAGACCTTGTACTGGATGCTAACATTATAAAGCAAAAGAGACACAGTGGTTGCTCCCAAAGGTATTATGATCTAGTAGGAAATGTAACCAACATTTAAACACATGACTTCAACAACACATTGTAGGTGTTAGAAAAATGATTTGAAAATACAGATAATCGGGGAGGCATGCAATTCTGTTGTCTAAGGAGCCAGCAAAGGCTTCCAAAGAAGTGACTTCTTTGGTGGCTGTGAGTTTTTAAGTACTGTTGTTTTTAACTTTAGCAGCCAGTAGGTAATTCACCCTCATGAACTAGAGAAAGAGGACAATCCCACCAAGTAACCAAGAGAAACCCTGGTAGTCTCGGCACTATTTAAGGAGAACTGAAGTGTTTGTAGTTCTCCAAGTATAATCTAGATATAGTTTTTCAAATACTGTTTTCTCTTGTTATTCTATACCCATCACTAAACCTGTGCTGCCTCTAAGTAGTAGAGGGCCAGTGGAAGTTAAGAGATGACACTGCACTCCTAAAAATTCCCAATGCTTATTAACATGGTAAAGGCTCTGAGGCATACTGTGGTAAAGAGATCTGTGTAATCTTTTATTAATATACCTTGTTGCTAAAATTATTAGGCCATAGGACACCTATATCACTGGGCTAATACTTTGGGAATACAAGTGTTCTGTTGAATATGATTGGGAAGAATAGAAGAATGTCACTAAACTTCATATAATTGAGATATTGTTGAGGGCCTGGAAAACTTCATAGCAGAAGGTAAAAAGGGTTAAGCTATGAAGGCATAAACTAAGTACTTGTACTGAATCTTTTAAAATAATTTTCTAAAAGGCATATTTTTAATACTAAGGCATTATTTTGTAGGACTCTGGGACTTTGGGGACTAATCAGGAAATGAAATCATAAATAAGGTGTGTGCTTGTACCTGAGGAAACCCAAGGGTTCCTATAGTTTTAGGTACGATACTCAACTGACTTCCTCTTTTTTAGCCATAGAGTTTTACTTGTTATTCCATTAAAGTCTCTAGCAGGATATTTACTGAATAGAAGTTTTGTAAGGGCAGAAACCAATGCCTTTGTCTTTGGAGTGTATTTTACAATATGAAATGTCCCGAGACAGAAACCCAGGACAGAGGGTAGCTATGTCAGAAGAGAAAACAAATTGCCAGGTGGTAAGAATGAAAATATCCCGTTCAATGGACACAGTCAAATAACACATGTCATAGGCTCCTCACTCTAACAATGAAGAAGGCGATTTCTATGGTTGTGCAAATGCAAACTCGATGAGAATGCTACTTTATGAAAACCTTTCACACAGTGTTCAAAACCTGGAATGACAGCATCTCCAAGCACCAGTCTGGTTATCTTACTGGCACAGATAATCAGGAGAAAGGGGGCTGCAATTATTACATGGATCTTGGCATTCAGAGATTTTACATTCAAATTTGACTCTATGCACATGACTCTGAAGGAACTGGAGAGTAGAATCCACATTTTGCTGAGGCTTGGGTTTGAAGGATATAAATGTGAGGGTGATGTATAGAAGTAAATGTCTTAATTATTGGACAAAACCCACTATCCATAGCTCAGTGCAGTATAGTTAATTTCTACTCATTATAATGGGCATTTTATTGGGGGATAACGTGCTAGAAAGGAATTTGTAAATGTGGGGTTTAAAGCCTTCCGGATGTTTTCATTACACATGTGAAACGTGCATTATTTTCCATTGATTCTAAACAAAAGCCCAAGACTTGGTCTCTTATAATTCCTCTGTGGCCTGTAGTATAATCTAAGAAACTTCAGTTTGATCTGTTCAGATGTTTTACTTACAATGGTCTAAAGTAGCAGGAAAAAATGGGCAAAAAACAATTACGACAGGTCATTTCCTCCTTATTGAAGAAAATAATTTGTAATCTCTCAGTTGAAGGACTGTGGAGGAGTTGGTTGTTTAGCGCAAAGAAGGATAAAGATATTAGCTGGATGACATTCTCTCTTCCTCTCTATCATGGCTGATATTTTTGCTATGGACTTAAAAAAACAAAGGCAGAAGGCATGTTTGACAGATGTGTAGTTGAGCTGAAGCTTAAAGTTGTTACACTGGATGACAAAATTTGGCTTTAGAAGGGTCCTGGTAGTCTGGAATGCTGGGTCAACATTTCTAGAATGAGATGGCAAAGAGGAAACTAAAAAGCCAGAATTTATAATAAATATTCATATTCATGTTTATCACAAAGTACAGAATGGGGGTGATGTGGCTTAACAACAGAAATTTTAAAAAAGTCATAAAGATTTATTTGCTGTCAAGTTCAACATGATTGCATAAGTGAGAAGGCAGCTATTCAAGCAAGTGAAATCTGATCATGCATCAAAATAGGTAGACAGGTCAAGCATAAGGGTTTGGTAAGGCAGGAATATTCTTCGCTGGTTAGAACACATCTGGGATATTAAGTTCATTCTTGGGCTTCATCATTTATAAGAAATATGAAAAGTGGAGGCC